AACTGACTGTCTAAGGTGATTCTCTGCACAGTAGCAAAAGTAAATTGGAACCAGGATTGCTTCTTAGTAGGTGGCTCGAGGGCAGAATTGATCTTGAAGCCATTGGCTGCCTATCTATCATCTTGTTCACAGGCAATGATTGTTCCAGAGAGACTGGAAATGAAGGGAGAAAATGATATGAAGTGCAACGAGTATGATACCTACTTACACAACAATCAAAAAATAATGATGAGCCAGAATTATAAATATTTTGTTTGCTAGATTCTGCTTCAAACATTAAGTTCTACTCAGAACTGATAGGAGTTTATTCTGCTTTAACATCGTATAACTGAAAGCCCTCTAGAAACTTTCTAGATTCAAATCAGTTCAGACATCTTTGGAAGTTCCAGTTAGGTGGTGGGAACTATGTTGGATCAAATAGCATAACTGGGTGTCTTTAAAATTGACTGAATTGTTGAAAATAAATAGATCAAATGAAAAGCTAAATTTAAGCTATGTGCCATTCATACTCACCAAGATCAATAAATTCTTCAAGTAATGCAAGAGATGTCATAGCTATTGAGGTAAAGCTCATGTTATGAGGATCTTTCCAGATTAAGTGAAATTTAAATTATTTTCTGATTTGAACTCAGTTTTTTATTTGATGTCAAGAATAATTTTTACTTGAACATCAGCACAATACTGAACGAACCATTTTTTAATGTTTGAAAAAAGCTTTGCTACTGGTTACAGTCTTGAATTGAAATGAAAAAGAATGAAGAAGTTGTAGAGGCACTCACTGAGTTAACAAGAGGTGGGATACATATGAGCGTAGACAGATCAGTTGGTCTGTGTCACTGATTTAGAAGTAACTAAGAGGTCCTATGTGAGTACGAACAACAGAAATGTTAGCGGCCATCTAAACCTGGGAAAATTAGGTGATTAAGCTGATGGAAAAAAGCACTAGAATTTTTAAATTTGAATTAAAAAGCCTATAGGAAATGAGGCATTGCAAATAGGCATTAGTTTAATTAATTACATGGACCAAGGAAATGGACCACTGAGCAGGAGAAATGGCAGAGCTAAGAGGCAAGCAGACTTAACATTAGAGTTAACTTAGAGTTAAAAGAAATACTTTGGCATTATGTACCCATGTGAGTCATTAATGAAAGGCGAAAAAAAAGGAAGATCATAATCTCACAAGGCTCTGAATATTTTCCAGATTACATATTGGCAGGCATAAGTGCCATCAGTTGATGTTTCATGCACACTCAACATTATGGACAGCTGGTCAATGTTATCAGAATTTACAGACAATCATGGGGGTGGTCCCCTCTCCTCTTAGTGCCACAGCAGTTGGAATTCTGCTGCTAACAGACTGGTGAAGCTCCTCTTTGCTCAGTCTGCTCCCATTCTGATGGCAATGATTCCAATCTCTAGACTGTAGGCACTAATACTGACCAGAGTAGTAAGGAGGGCAAAAGGGATGTTCTGAGCATCATGGTTGACAATAACATGAAAGAAATAAACTTCCCAAGTGAATCTAAAGGAAAAACTTGATGGGAAAAACTTGATGGACTCTCACTTTTTAAATCTTTTCTTTTAATGCTCAAATCAAAAATCAGTGTTAACAAGGTATTAACAGGCAAATTGTATTTTGTAGAAACAATAAGTTATACCTTGTACATCCATTGTTCAGCAACAATAGATCTTGCAAATTTCTCAGGAAGTTCACTCAGCATGTCACTGCCTTTGAGATCCCAAATTCTGTCTTCCTGATGATGAATTCTAATTCCTCCTATTCCAGGAATTCAGCTAGATCCTCGGCTGATAGCAGTGCACAACCAGCCTGAATTCCTCACCACCATCTTCAACATGGCACACGTGTGCTGAACTCTGCTTACAATGGTGTGGTTCTGCCAATTTTATGTTCAAGTTGCAGAGGAAGCAGGATTAACTATATTTCCTATTCCCATCTCCTGGATCTAGCCTCCATCTTCAGCCTGCGTAGTCTGCACCACTTAGTCAAGGAAGCTTGGAGGTTTCTGTGACTTCTTACTGGTTTCAACCAGTTGCAATTTCCTGAGATATTTACACTTCTGTTTCGATTCTAGTTAGAGGCTGGGTCAAAAAAAACCAATATGTTCTGAAAGCACAGTTAGTGCAACAGTGTGCAAATGTATAGATTATGCCACACAAGTTGAAATAACTTATTGGTAATGAAGGGGAAAATAATTGGTGATGAATTGGAGTTGGAAGGGTTAAATAATGGAGCAAGACAGGGAAGATAGGAAGACAATGGAAATTCAAGGGAGCTGGAACTCCATGGCAGTGAAGTGAAGCGAAGCAGAAATTTCACAGAAAGATGCCTCTACAAATTGAGGAAGGCTAAGTACATAAGCTGAAATTAAAAGGTTGGAAAGTTATTCAGCATGACCAGAGGAGAAAAAAAATTGGATGTTGAAGTTGGCTGGAGAATGAAAAATGTCTTTGATCTGAGCTGGAGGAGATGGACTTCCTGTAGAATTAATGCAGAGAAGAATGGCGGGCCACATTAAGGTAGAGGGAGAGCAGCACCAGTATTACCTCTATGGACTGCACAGGTTGAAGAAAGCAAAAGTGTAGCTGGGAAGGGTCACGAGCTGAATGGGCTATAGTTTAGAGAACTCTTACTGTGAAGTATTCCAGAGTTTGGAAGTGAGAGAAAAATTATCGACTGTGGTCTGGACAGTGAATTGAAAATCTCACAATTAATTGGAAATATACAATGGGTAAAATGAACTGATATTTGCAATTGCTATATAAAGTAAATGAACAAAAATCTTGGTTGGTTCCTCTTAGAAACATGCCACCAAATTTTGAATTTCATTTTCAGTTTTCCCTACACTTGTACAATACAAGTAAGAAAAGTTAAACAAAGCATTAAAACTCATGAAAACTAAATGATTATAGACCAATTGTGTGTTTTTTGAAACCCTTTGCCATTGTATGTATACAAGTACATATGTAAGCACATGAAGAGATGTATATGTATATATATTTATATTTCTGTAATTAAAATTTGTGAACAGTAATTTGCATATCAAATGTGGTAAGTAGCACCTAAGTGAAAAGATTGAAACGTTCTTGAAACCTCACTGTCCAATTATAATAAGATTAAAACCTGCTTTGTTATGCATTTAAGGCATAATAATTTGGCACTCAAGAGGACTCTATTAACTGATTAGTTAAATTTCAAAATGTATCGATGATATCGAATCAATCTAAGAGCATTCATATTGTTCCAATGATTAAACTCCCTGCATAAACAGCCATCATCAGATGTTCATGGGAACTTGCTATCCACCAATTGGTTTCTGTGTTGCCGACATTACAATTACTCTCCAGAAGTACTTTGGATATAAAGTACTTTGGATATAAATTACTTTTGGATGACTGTGGTCATGGAAATTGCTGCATAAATGTTGTTACTTTCTTTGTAATATGTCTCCAACCCATACAAATGACAGTGCTACAGTCTGTGCTAAGTTTGCTAAGCCCACTGATGCACAGTCACTAAATCGAGATCTGTGCTCCTGACCTGTAGAGAGGAGGGGAAATCATCTTTCCCTCCCCACCCTTATCTGCTTTCCGGAGGGACCACTCTCTCCGTGACTCCCTTGTCCGCTCGACGCTCCCCTCCAGCCCCACCACACCTGGCACTTTTCCCTGCAACCGCAGGAAGTGCTACACCTGCCCCCATACCTCCTCCCTCACCCCCATCCCAGGCCCCAAGAAGACTTTCCACATCAAGCTGATGTTCACGTCTGCCAATGTGGTAAACTGCATCCGCTGTACCCGTTGTGGCCTCCTCTACATCGGGGAAACCAAGCGGAGGCTCGGGGACCGCTTTGCAGAACACCTACGCTCGGTTCGCAATAAACAACTGCACCTCCCAGTCGCGAACCATTTCAACTCCCCCTCCCATTCCTCAGACGACATGTCCATCCTGGGCCTCCTGCAGTGCCACAACGATGCCACCCGAAGGTTGCAGGAACAGCAACTCATATTCCGCTTGGGAACCCTGCAACCCAATGGTATCAATGTTGATTTCACAAGCTTCAAAATCTCCCCTCCCCCTACCGCATCCCAAAACCAGTCCAACTCGTCCCCGCCTCCCTAACCTGTTCTTCCTCCCACCTATCCCCTCCTCCCACCTCAAGCCGCACCCCCATCTCCTACCTACTAACCTCATCCCGCCCCCTTGACCTGTCCGTCCTTCCTGGACTGACCTATCCCCTCCCTAACTCCCCACCTACACTCACCTTTACTGGCTCCATCCCTGCCTCTTCGACCTATGTTTCCTCTCCATCTATCCTCTCCTCTATCCATCTTCTATCCGCCTCCCCCTCTCTCCCTATTTATTTCAGAACCCCTTCCCCTCCCCCATTTCTGATGAAGAGTCTAGGCCCGAAACGTCAGCCTTTCTGCTCCTATGATGCTGCTTGGCCTGCTGTGTTCATCCAGCTCTGCACCTTGTTGTCTTGGTTTGGAGGGTATGTCTAGGTTGATACAGGAATAAATCATGGGTCCTTATCTAGTTAAGTTTTTAGTGATACCTGGTGAAAGCAGTTGAATTTGGAAAAGGGTGGAATTGGACTTAACTATCTTCCTTCCCTGTGTTGAATTATTTAAATCCCATACTTGTTGGTCCTGTATCTGAACCCCTGCAAGAGTTGGAACCTTTGAGTGGGGATCCAATGAGCCTTCTGTGCTTATCACCGTTGAATATTTTTTACCTTTTTGGTTTTGAATTAATTGCTGAAATTCCTTTTGAAAATGTGAAGATACCTCTCATGGATTTTCTTTCTAAATAAACTCGATGTTCTACTTTTGTCTCAACCAAACGATGACTTACCTCCAGAAAACTGTAGTTTTGAACTGTTGCTGCAAACTGAAAGATATTTATAGGCTGTAAAACAAACAAAAATGGAGAAGCTGTACACATTGGTAAATTAACTGTCATGTTTGTTCTCTCAAAGTGCCTACCAAGTTGTTGTGGAAGAAGTGAATTCGCACAGATCAAAGAGGGAGGCCAGCACAGCAGAGTGCTTCCATATTCCTGTCACCTACCAGTCTGCTGCAGCTCGAGGGTCACCATATTATTACGCTGCAGAACTTCCTCCAAGTGGAGTTTCTGAACAAACTCCTTTTACAGTGGGTGACAATAAAACCTACAATGGATTCTGGAATCCTCCTTTAACCCCCAGGAAAGGATATCACATACACTTCCAAGCTGTCAGCAGTGTTGAACAGGTAAGTGGTATGCATTATTGACCAAACAGTTTTGTCTTATCTGATGTTTTGCTGTAATTTCTGGGTTAATTTTGTCTCCGCATGATATCATACAATTTTATGGCAAACATCTAAATGATGCTAAGTCTGAAAATCATTGGACACATTCTGAGTGCACTCAGATCCTGTGCAGACCAGCTGGCGGATGTATTTACAGATGTCTTTAACCTCTCCTTACTATGATCTGAAGTCCCCACCTGCTGCAAGAAGTCCACCATCATCCCAGTGTAAAATCAAAATCAGGCAGTGTGCCTCAATGACTATTGCCCAGTGGTTCTGACCTCCATAATTATGAAGTGCTTCAAAAAGCTCACATCAACTCCAGCCTACCAAATTACTTTGATCTTTTGCAATTCATCTACTGACGCACATGTCCACAGCATATGCCATCTCCCTGGCCCTATACTCATCCATGCAACATTTGGATAACAGGATACCTACATTAGGCTTTTACTTATTGACTACAGTTTCATCTTCAACGCCACAATTCCAAACAAACTCATCTCTAAACTCCAAGACCTGAGACTCAACTGCCTGCTCTGTAACTGGATCCTCGACTTCCAGACCCATAGACTGCAATCAGTAAGAATAGGCGACAACATCTTCTCCTCCATAATCCTCAACACCGATTCCTCACAAGGCTCTGTACTCAGCCCCTACTATACCCCACAGTCCTCGTGACTGTGTAGCCAAATTCCACCCCAACTCTATTTACAACTTCGTAGGTTGGATCTCAAATAACAACAAGATGGAATAAAGGAAAGAGATTGAGTGCTTAGCAGCATTGTGTAAAGACCACAATCTCTCCCTCAATGTCAGCAAAATGAAGGAGCTGGTCATTGACTTCAGGAAGCAGAGTGCAGACAGCTGTGTCCCCTCCATCAATGGTGCCGAGGTGGAGATGGTCACAAACATCAAGTTCCTGAGAGTGATGATCACCAACAATCTATCCTGGTTCATCCACATTGACACAACAGTCCAGTAAGAATGACAACATCTCTACTTCCTCAGGAGGCTAAGGAAATTTGGCATGTCCACAAGGACTCTTACCAATTTTTATAGATGCAACATAGAAAGCAATCTATCTGGATGGATCACAGCATGGTTTGGCAATTGCTCTTCCCATGATCGCAAGAAACTACAGAGTCGTGAACATAGCCCCATCCATGATGCAAACTAGCCTTCCATCCATTGACTCCATCTATACTTCCTGCAGCTTTGGGAAAACAACCAACATAATCCACCAGCAAAACCCCCGGCAACTCCTATGCTAGTTATACTCTCTTCCACCTTTATCCATCAGGTGGAAGATATAAAATTTTATACACACATACAAGTAGATTCAAGAACAGTTTCTTCCCAGCTGTATCAGACTTTTGAACAGAACTCTCAAATGTTAATATTGATCTCTCTCTCCGTACCTTTTCTGCGGCTGTAACAGTATGTTATGCACTCTGTTCTGCCACCGTGCACTTTGTATGGTACAATCTGCCTGTATAGCATGCAAAACAAAACTTTTCACTGTATCATGGTACATGTAACAACAATCAATCAATCAATATTCCAATACATAAATGCTAAAGTATTTAGGCTATCCATCCTTAACTTGGTAATGTAGAAGCAATAAAATTGTGATTACTTACAGGTTAGGTCATCTTTACATAATGTTAAACACAAATACATATATATTCTGTTTTGGAAATAATGAGTTACAATGAATGTTTATAAAATCAATTTTTAATTGGTTCATAGACCAGACACATTTTGGATTCGATCTAATAGTGTTGGGTCAATTTATTAAATGGCAAAAGTTATACTTAAAGGCCATTGTATCATAATTCAGAGTTTTTTGCATTCCACTGACTTTAGTGGCACAAACAACCAATGACTTCTTTTCTCTCCCTATGTTGTCTTGAAATCTGTACGATGAACCTGTTTTATCTGTATTTTTTATCCTCTGTGTCCTGATGTTGCTGTCCTATTTTGATCTTGTTATTTCATCTGTCAATATTAAACTCATCAGTCATTTACACACCTGTGGTCACAACCAGGAGAGGATATCCTTAACACACAAACAGTTCCTCATTAGCGTTTTAGTGTATATAACCACTTACCAGACTTTAATGACTCCTACATTTATTTAATTATAGACCCAAAGTTCATTGATCGATACATTTCAAAGCATATCCTTATTCACGACAGATATTGTCGCTCAGACACCTGTCCTCTACTTCCTTTTTTTCTATTCATGTTATCAGCTCGTTCCATTAATCCCTGTTACAGTGTCAGTGTGATTTAACTCAAGTCACGCATGCAATATTTCCTCATCCGTTTGGAGTTAACCTTTTATCATCTATAAGCCCATACAAAATGCACACAAAAATTCATCCCATGTACCATGTGAAAAAAAGTTCACATTTCCTACAGTTCTCATTACCCAAAGAGTTTTGAACAGCGGAATGAAATGGGATTTTTTCTTGAACATAAAACATTGTGTAAAAATATTTAAGAAATGACTCAGTGCTTACAGCTTTCAATGTTTTGATGCAGAAAAGAACATTTTGTAACAGACATAGGTGGATTGAGATCAACTGATAGATTTAGGGCACTCCTACCTTGCTGTTTCACTCGTGGTGTAAGGTGAATTTCAATTTTACTTGATAAAAGATTTTCCTACTTTCTTGCTTTGTCTATCATTCTTATAAACAAGTTGCAAGCTACTTGTTAATAAAAAGGCAAGAGCCAAAGTAGCTAGTGGTTCAGCTGTGAATGGGTAAACCAGCTCCGTGGTAAACAGAAAGCACTCAATATGACAGTAATTTATTTTATTCAACACAGGGGTTAAGCATTGTCACCAGAAATTTGTTTGGAAGTGCTCCTGTTCTGTCACTGCAATTTTATTGGATATTAACAACGGTTGGGTAAATTGGGTTTCTGCCAGCATTACAGTGGCCTTTTGGCAGGCCCAAGGAAGTACAACTGGCTAAAATTGATGCTTTGCTGTGATAGTGAAAAATTTTGTGTAGGTTTCAATGAAATACTCCATCTTCATCTCTGAAACACTGAGGTGTAATTAAGTATTTAATTCCTAACCTCAAAACTCTCCCTCGCTTCCGGGCCACCAGGATAAAGCCAGGCATCGGCCTATTTTGTGCAGTAGCCTGTATGATGTATTAACATCTTTTTGTGCTGACAGAATGTCTGAATGTTAAAGGTTTAGTGGAGCATTTTGAAATGTTCATGACGTTGGATTTTTGTTTGCACATTAAGCACAATGATTGTTCCTCAACGGCATGCTGAATCATCTGTTTTCATTTGTTTCCGTGATATGGGTGCCTCCTGACATAACTTACCAGTGGCATTGGCTTCATAAATCGTCATGTCTGCATTGAAGTGAATGCTATCCTAAGAGGAGCAGACCTGGATTAAGCTAACTCTGGTTGGATATTTAGCAAGATTGTGGCCAACCCATTATGTTGGTTATAATTGGTCTTTGATGGAACATTGGTGTGAGTTCCATCCTAGTTAAACTTGTACTGTTGAATAGTCTCTGCGTTAGTTGCGTGTAGTTCCCTCAAATAGCTTCCTCTGTCTTGCACACTAATTTATGACAAATCAGCTATGGCTCATACAAAAGGTTTTACTGAGTTCTCAGCAAATACTGGGCCTTTTTTTTTGGTAATTCTTCTTCTTCTTCAAGTTTAAAAAACTGAACGAACTGTGAATGCTGTAAATCAGAAAAAAAAACAGAAGTTGCTGGAAAAGCTCAACAGGTCTGGCAGCATCTGTGAAAAGAAATCAAAGTTAATGTTTTGGGTCCAGTGACCCTTTCTAAGTTGTTTGGAAAAAATTGAGAAAACCAATAAAGGAAATGCCAGAGAAAAGCAGTCTTCACGGTAAATGCTTTCTATTCACCTTTCAATTCCTTTCCATCAAGTTTACAGAGAGAGGTGATTGGACTTCACTTTGAAAGATAATGATGAACAGCTGACCCTCTTCCCAAAAGCAAAAGCTGGAACAAGAGATCTAATATGACAATGAAGAAATATGAATGTCTGACTAATAAGGTTGGATATTTCCAAAAAGTACCCCCGAACAAGTTGTGCTTTCATTGACAGTGCACGAAAGAAAGTGTGCAGGGGAGATAGACACTAGCACTGATCTTAGAGAATTCTCTTCACGTTTCCCATATTTATGCAAAACAATTTGCTGTATTGTGCTTATTGTGCAAGGAAATCCACATTATTACATAGGACTGAAACAGCAAATAATAGTAATTATGGCTTGAAAATCTTCTGTACTTACCTGCTGCAATATTGTTCATTCAGGTAAAATTATGAAGTAGTACTGAGAAGCAATGTTCTTCTGCCTTACATTTTCTAATTCTTCCATGGGTGTGACCTCTGTGGTCAAGGCAGGCATTTGTTGCCCGTCTTTGATTGTCCTTGAGGTAGTGGAGGTTTGTAGCGGCATCATCATTTCAGCAGATGTAAACTATGCGATTGGTTTGCTCCATGGCTTTCCATCTCTTTCGTTTTGCCTATCACTCATTCTTGCTTCTCAGCCATTCACCTCGGTACAGGTAATCGTAATTACAGTTTACTCTAAAGGCCTCCAAGGATTATTCAAGTTTTCATTATCGTATTAGGGTGGTCCTGTTTAATTGATTCTAAGCCGTTAAGTTTAAAACAGAAAAGGTTTCATCTTCTGCCACTGGTGTACCATCTATATCCAAACAGATATGTACCTGAAATTTTATATATTTAGACTGACCTGGAAAAATTGGGTTTTACATTTTTTTTTGCCAAGCAACAGTAAATCCTAGTGTTGTGAGCTCTTTTATTTCTTATGTTTTCCTGGAATTTTCTTCCCTTAAATAATGACTAAAGAAATGTTTTATTTGCATTTACAGGAGACAAAGATACAGTGTGTGAGGATTGCAACAAAAGGTAGGAGCAAAAGATTTGTAAAAGGAATTTTTTTAAAAAACTCCCCACCCTCCTTCAAATTGATAGATTTATAAGAGTGTATTTGTCTACTTACTGGTACTACTAGCACTTTCAGAAAATTATTGCAACTCATTTATACATGTCTTTTAATGGGAGTGTGCTTTGTTTCTGTATAAACCAAGCAGAGAGAGATTGTGTATTGGCAGCCTGGATTTGAGCAGACATTAAGAGCCGATTACTTTCTGTTATTTGCAATATAGACCAGTTTTTGTCACTGAACAGCTGGAGTATTAATGTTGAAAAGCAGATTGAAGGTTTTATTGTAAAAGCTTCCATTCATGTTTGACATTTATCTAGTGTACGCAATAAATGATTAGATTTTGTTGGAGTCACTAATGACTAAAACTTGCATTTAGTATGTATGTGGTAGTTATCCAGGGAAAGGTTTTTAAATCTCAATGAGATTTAACTTTACATTTGCTGCTGCTTTCATGTACTTATTTATCAAAAGCTTTTAAAATTGCTTCCTGATGTAAGCTGGTTTTAATGTATATATTTGAACATGCCAAGACACAATTAGGAAAATTTGCAATCTCAGCAACTTTATTCAGTGCATCAGATGGAAACAAACAAAATAAATAACATTGTCTATGATTTGGGTCTGGTCTCTCAAAGTCTTGATTTCCATATTTTTTAGTTTTGACCTTGAGGACAACTTGTCCCTTTGCATAACTTTACTGTTTATTCTTCAATGCAAACCTTATAAAGTACTAAAGAAGATTGTACACACCAACATAAATGCATCAGTGCCTATCACTCACCCTGGCAATCTGGGAGCATTTGTTCTCCAAACTTCAGGTATTGCAATTACTGGAAAAGTAATTAAAAATATCCATTATTTTTTGACTTTAACATTAACAGGGTCATTGCATCACTTAAAAAAAGGGTTAAATGTTAAGATGAAATTTTCCTTAAATTATTGTCTTGATATATTTTTCTACAGTTGTGGTCCATAATGGCTTTATTGTGCGCAGACTGTTCTTGCAGGAATTGTGTTTACCCAATGAGTATTCATTATGTCATCAATATCTCTCTTAAACAGAGTTTGTGAAAGTTTTAAGTTAGAATTTGTTGTTAAATATCAGGGGATCGCAAGCATTTTTAAACTTGGCTTTTCCCCTCCTTCCTCTATTAAAAAACAAAATGGTGATGCATCCCCAGATGTTGCTTGGTTAGTTATTAATTGCTGAAATATTTTCAGTCAAAAAGGTAATCATTATTGAAAGAAATTGGACAACAGATCAGCTATATTACAATTTAAGGCAAAAAGGTGAAAATCTAACTGGACTTCTTGCGGTGTCCCAAAATGTGTGATGACATTGGAAGGAAAACATGTTATTCTCTGAAATTCAAAAAAAACCAAAACATTCTTACTTGATAGGTGAAGATCAGCAGTAATGATCCCATAGCCGAATGAATCAATGAACAATAAAGGTTACTTACTGTTGAGATACTGTGCAATTGGGAAATAGTTGCCAAAATCTATTTGAAATTGTGTTGTTTATGCTCCACTTCAGGCTTACACTAAAATTAATTGGTATAATCATGAACTAATGTCTGCATTTTGCTGTCAACCTCCAATAATCAACATTAACCATTCATTGCATTGAGACTCACCCACAGGCCCACTATTGGCTTTGCAACTTGCAGTAATATAAGAAGCAAATAGTATGTCCCACACTATGGGCAGATGAGTGACCTTGGTGAATAGGGAAAGCACTGTTGTTTTTCCTAAGCTGATTAGATTTTATGAGCTTTACTGTGATATACCGAGCCTGAATAGGGATGTGGAACTTAGAATAGTTATTTGAATGTGAAATGATGTACAGAAAGTGAAATAGAGAGGGAAAGAAAAATGGAATTAACAGCATATAGAAAGGAAAAGTAAAGCAAAGTTCAACTTCTAGAATCTCCAACAATATTTAAAATTCAATGGAATGACTCTCCCCACTATTAGGGGAGACACCCACTTCACATAGAATAAAGAAAACAACTTTTATAAGTAAATTTTTACACCATTTAAGAATTTGCTTATGTTAAAATTGACAAGTCTTAATGTTTCCCAGCATCTTCACTGGGTGACTGGTGGGTCAATCTTCAAATTTTCTTGATTGCATGTGTTTAAATGCCAAGTCTCTCAAGGTGCATTTATAGGAAAGTTTTTAGCGGAGAAGGCAAGTCAAATAGAAACTTTGACAGTTAAAGCATGAAACCTGATTATGTGTAGATGCCAGAACTTGCTGTCTGATTAACTCCAAGAGCCTCACTTTTATTACTACTGCAATATCCAGGTCAAAAACTCTGGAGAGCCAGTGAAATCAGGCAGTGTGACAGAATGCCACTAGTCCCATTCCTTCTTTGCGTTTCAAAGAAAAGTGTTTCTTGATGTATTGACCTGTGGTATTATCATGCAGCTGAAAATGAGTTTGCATAAACAATTAATTTGAACATGTGTCCAGTCCCCTCTTTTTGAGCTACCTGCTTTGAAATAATTGAAAACGGCTTGCTGAACTATTACAGTGAACTCAGCACCAAATTTAAAGCACTAGTTAAATAAAATGTACCTCCTCCTAATGCCTGCTTCTAAGAAAATCCACAGAATTTGAACAGTTTTTCCAAATTAGCACAATTAATGTAATCCAGCATTTTCAAGCAAGAGGTGTATCCAGTTTTGTGTGCAAAACCTCATTCGCACGATTTGAATCTTGAAACTGTAAAATTCTCAGAATGAGTTTTAAGTAGTTCGGAGTCTAACTGACTCTGATTTAAAATTTCTCAATAATTTGCTGTAGCTTGACCGATTTCACCTGGATTGCACCGATGTAACTAACAGAAATGAGCAGAAACCTGACGCCCATATATTGACTTTGAATTGATAGGAGAGTGTGTTATTATACTTCATGCTTCTAGATACACTATGTATAGTGGTCAATGAAGCTTGTTATGAATAAATCCTAATGTAAACTTTAAATTAGAAATGTTGTAAACTGAAGTATTTTTGTGTCTAATTTTTTTCTTTGTGAATGTGCAACATTCAGTCAGCAAACCACAATGTCATTCCCTTGTTCAAAAAAGGGAATAGGGATAACCCTGGAAATTACAGGCCAGTTAGTCTTACGTCCGTGGTGGGCAAATTATTGGAAAGGGCTCTGAGAGATAGGAGTTATGATCACTTGGAAAGGCACGGTTTGATTCGTGATAGTCAGCATGGATTTGTGAGGGGTAGATCATGCCTCACAAACCTTATTGAATTCTTTGAAGAGGTGACCAAACACATGGATGAAGGTGGAGCAGTGGATGTGGTATACATAGATTTAAGTAAGGCATTTGATAAGGTTCCCCATGGTAGGCTCATGCAGAAAGTAAGGAGGCATGGGATAGGGGGAAATGCGGCAGGATGGATTCAGAATTGGCTTACCCTTAGAAGACAAAGGGTGTTAGTGGATGGAAAATATTCAACATGGTGCTCAGTTATGAATGGTGTACCACAAGGTTCTGTTCTGGGTCCTCTTCTATTTGTGATTTTTGTAAATGATTTAGATGAAGGAGTGGAAGGGTGGATTAGTAAGTTCGCAGACGATACAAAGGTGGGTCAAGTTGTGGATAGTGCGGAGGGCTGTTCTAGGCTACAAAAGGACATTGATAGGATGCAGAGCTGGGCTGAGAAGTGGCAGATGGAGTTTAACCTTGAAAAGTGTGAGGTGATTCATTTTGGAAGGACAAACTTGAAAGCAGAATACAGGGTTAATGGAAAGATTATTGGCAGTGTGGAGGAGCAGAGGGATCTTGGCGTTCATGTCCACAGTTCCTTGAAAGCTGCCACCCAGGTGGTTAGAGTTGTTAAGAAGGCGTACAGTGTGTTAGCTTTCATTAATAGAGGGATTGAGTTCAAGAGCCGTGGAGTTATGCTCCAGCTATACAAAAGCCTGGTTCGGCCACATCTGGAGTATTGTGTCCAGTTCTGGTCGCCTCATTACAGGAAAGATGTGGAAGCGTTGGAAAAGGCGCAGAGGAGATTTACCAGGATGTTGCCTGGAATGCGGGAAAGGTCTTGCAAGGAAAGGTTGAGAGAGCTCGGGCTTTTCTCTTTAGAACGACGAAGGATGAGAGGTGACTTGATAAAGGTGTACAAAATGATCAGAGGCATAGATAGAGTGGACAACCAGAGTTTTTTTTTCCTAGGGTGGAGGTAGCTAATACAAGGGTACATAGTTTTAAAGTGAGTGGAGGTAGATATAGGGGAAACGTCAGAGGTACGTTGTTTACTCAGTGTGTTCGGGGCATGGAATGCATTGCCGGAGAGGGTAGTGGAGTCGGCCTCATTAGGGGCATTTAAGCAGCTATTAGATAGGCATATGGATGGTAGTATAAAGTATGGGTGGAGGTTAGATAGAACTTGGGATTAGGGTAAAAGTTTGGCACGACATTGTGGGCCGAAGGGCCTGTACTGTTCTATGTTCTATGTTTAACTAACACTCAATAGTGCATGGATTAATGTTACATTGATTCAAATCCATGAAAGTAAACCTATTTTTTGTTAGAACCATTAAAAGACAAATAAAATTTTTGTAGTACAAGAGTGGTTTGGCCATTTCATTTGTGATTTTTTTTAAGTCCTGTATGTTTGTTGTATTATGTCAGTCTCAATTTCTGTAGGACAGGACTGGATAAGTTACTAAGTAGTGAATTTGAATCTTCATTGGTGACTGGCACTTTGTCAATCACAGTGTTTGGATTTGAAAGTCTTTTTTTAAAAAATGCCTGTTTAGAAATGGTATTGCTGATTTCTGCTTGTTCTCCTCTTAAAATATTGGGGTTAAACTTTGTGGTTTCTCTAAATGCACTAAACTTTGTACTATTAAATCTAAAATCAAATTAAAAATAATGCCTAGTATCAAGTTATTTGGTAATTCTAGACAAGATTAAAGTAAATTTCAAAT